CCCCCCACCCCCTCATTCAGGTCTGTTAACCAATAGATAACGCTAACGTTTTCTTAAACAACTATGTTTATTCAGTTTTTTAACGGCTAAWTTTTTTCTTTTTTCTAAAGCTGTTCCACTCCTTCTGTTGCATGTRRTTTATTGTGTGTTTAGTCATTGTAAAGCACTTGTACACAAACACACACATGACTAAATATGTCATAAATCACACACAAAACAAASACTCACACACAAACATAGGGCCTTGGCAGAGCTTCGCGCTCTCCCAGTGCTTCTAGTTCAGACTGTTTCTTTTACCTATTGCTATGTAGTCTTCTGTATCCCACGCTAAAAGAGTGGCCAAGGGGCCCGCGTAGAGCAGTAGTCCATCATCTTCCTCTGTCATAAACTCCAGTGAAAGATGGCTATCAAAGCATGGCCTTATGGGAGGAAACCAGGCATAGCCGTTGCCAAGGAAACTAAGTCTCGTCTGCTGACAATCTGGCCCCTCGAGCTGTGGGGGGCAGCGGCACCTGTAGCACAAAAAAGGATAAAAAAAAGTGTAAAAAAATCAGGACAAAACAAGGGGAAAGAAACAATCAGTGTCATTCAGTTTTGAGCTGGGAGAAATCTTCCCTTTGTGAAGTGGTTGTCGTACGTGACAGCCCTGTTGATTCACACAGGCAGAGAGGTGCGACTGTTTGAACACGCCGCGTGTCAACACACAGCAAGACGAACACTTTTTTATCTACCAATTGTTTGCATTAGCGCCGACGTCCTGAATATTCACTTCTACGTTAAATCAATTAGCTATGAACACAAGATTACTCGGGTCTATTTTTTTTTTTATCTATCACAGCTGTCGGAGCTGAACTCCCCAGAGAYGGTCCGTGCTCGGCGCGTCACGTTACTTTTGTTAGGAGATAATTAAATCTATTTCTCTCACTTTTCTATGTGTCAAGCCATCACTGATTTTCAAGACTTTTTTTTTGTTATGATCCGCCACTGCCCCTTTCTCCGTTTTAAGGCGTTACTCACTTTGCAAGATCGCCTCCTTTTGTACTTATCTACTTTAATTAGGGCTTCTGTGTTAAGGATCACTGCTCGTGCACAAACTGCAAAATAAATGTTATTCAGGAGACTTTTCAATCTGTTTGTGTGGGAGACTGTAATAGTAAATCTTAATAAGCATAGAAACACATTATTTATATTTAAAAAAACATACATTTAGTGATGAAAAACAACGCTTTCGATCATTGTGATGGGCAGGATTGAAGGGACAGGTTGTTCTCAGCCTCTCCACTACAGGCATGTGAGACAAGCTGGTTTTGCTGATAATGTCAAAGCCATCTATTTTCATGCAGTGTCTAAAGAAGGCTCTGTGTTCCAAGGCTGGAAGGGTCCGCTTCTCCAATCGTAGTTCATTGTGCAAAGGGGCAACATACATCAGGAATACTGATTTATATGCTGGGAAAAAAGAAAAAAACCGACTGTGGCAGAGTGTATTGCCTGATGCATACATATGCACATGCGAACAACGGCACCAGACTCCTTCGCCGCTCTTTCATGTGACTTGAGAGAGAAATGGAAGTCCAAATTGCAAAGGGCAGCGCCTGTTTTTCTCACTTTTCACTGATAATATCTGATTAGCTCCTTTCTGAGGTTCTCCCATTAAGCTCCTACAGCAAAATTAGATTCTTTCTGCCTACAACGCATTCATACGAGTGCATGTATAGCATATTTAATGACATACGAGTTTCTTTGAGCTTTAAACTGCACAGASACTTTTAAAAAATAAAATACAATGAAATAAACAGCTTGTTATGTGCCGTCTCTGGACATCAGGCCTTGCACGAACGTGCATATTTGTAGAAACGGCATTAAAGAATAGTTTAAGAAGCTGTGAGCATACGGTAGAGGGAAGTAGATTTAAATAATCCTTTTGCCCTATATTTATTTAATCTGGATATTAGTGTGTGCATGAAAATGAAATGCATGCATTTCTTTCTGCAAAGGACTCCCACAGAGAGTCGTTTAAAACTTGAAGGTTAGGACTTGTGTATTGACCAGAGGTATGTATAAATGTTTAAGGAGCCTATTAAAGGCATGTAGCAACAGAAATATTAACATCTACTGAGGAGTTTTGCAAAATACAGCAAAAACTCTGGACAAAATATTTGAAGGACTCAGTTTTTTTAATGATTCAAAAAACTTCCATTCATGACAAATGGATTAGAGCCTTTAGAAAAGTCAGATATTTTATATTTTCAGCTTACAACAATAAAGATTTTTTTCTCTCTTCTTCTCAGAGACACAATTTGTAATCACTCTTACAGTGGTTCTTCAAGTACTAGAAAAAAGCCCGCAGCCCACCAGGAACCTGATTTCTCTTCCCCTCTTAAAAGAATCAATTTCACCTGAAGTCCAGCTGCAGACGTGCCTCTCACCTGTATCCATTCTGTGTGTCGATGCATGTCCCCCCATTACGGCAAGGGTTGCTGGGGTAGGAGGAGCAGGGTCGGTGGGTCATTTCTCTGGCAGCACAGCCGCACACAGCCGAAGATGTCACTTTCACCGAGACCAGGGACAGAGGGCCGGAGTCTATCAAGGTGGGAGAGTCACCGATGCCTAGCTGTGTGTAGCAGCCGCCGGATGTCTTGCAATCTGCATGCACGCACTCRTCTACCTGCACCTGGCTCACACTCGCATGGAGAAGCAGCTGCAGCTGCAAAATCAAAAAAAAAAAAGGGGGGGAGTACAATCATTCCTGGAGATGATCACGGGAATTTGCAGCTCCTGTTTCAGTGCCAGGTAGAGGACAGAGAAACTGCRTTAAAGGAGCAAAATGCAGTCACAGGAAATTCAACAGAGACAAGGCATTCTGTGTAAAACAGCGAGACAATTACATTTATGTGGATTGAAAAGAATGGAAGAAAGAAAGCGAGTTACAGATGAAGGACAGACGCTGACAATTATTGAATAGAACACAAACAGACATGACAGGGTCGGGCAATAAACTGACAGAAAATTGGTGTAAGAATAAAAGGCCAGATAAAAAGCCCTGTTATCTTTTTCCCACTAGCTCACAGGTTTATCACTTGATGTATGAACACTGATCTCTATCGCTYTGACAGGATGGTATACATACCTCCTTTTTATGTGCCGCCAGGACACCATGCAGTTTCTCTGGCCCCAAGTAGCCATTATCAGTTAGCACATAGAAATAGACGTCTACGGTTTTCTCCTCTCTGTCGGCTAGACCGAAGATGTTGATACTTCCTGGTCTGACAGACAGGGATTCAGACAGGAAGTCCCAAAAAGCCTCCAGCCGACTCTTCCCTTCATCGCTGGAGTCGATAATCTCTCTCGCTGTAATGCCTTGGGGAGACAAAAAGATTGGAGGCTCACGACATAAGAACTCGTCAACGACAACTGTGGAGTTGATCAAAGTCCGTGAAGTTCCTGATTCCATTAGCACAAGAGGTAGCCTAACATCTCCCTCTATTGATTCGCTTCCTCCCAGAGTCGRCAGGAGGTGAACGAGTCTGCACACGGCCCAGTAAGAACTGCTGGTTTCCTCACCGACAGGAAGTTACCGTCTTGRCAAACTGTCTTTTACAAAATATTTTAACGACAGGAAAATCAATCACATTCGGGGTGCAACCTCCCAGTAATATCAGGAAAATGTGAGCAGTCATCTTTAATCTATGAAATATGATAACAACTCAGAGTCAGAGGCATCCATAACAGCCTTTGACTCCGTTCACAGAATGGCTTTTTAAATGTCAAGGACTTTACCTGACACTTCTAAATTGACCTTTATAACTCCGATTTGATCTTAGAGACTGTCAGAGAAATGAATACGCTAACATAAACTTCAGCGTGTGGAAGAATACTGGGAAGGAAAAGAAGGAGAAGACTGTTCTGAACAAGCATTTTGAATGGCTGCTTTACAATGCTCAGAAATGTTAAACAATGCCTGTACGAAAAAGAAAAATCTCCTGACAGCCTGTTATTTAAGTGTTAACTAGATTGACAACTTGATAATCATTAAATGAAAAGTAGCAATTTATTCATGTGTGTGAAAGATGCTGTCATTTTCAACATCAGTGTCAAAACAGGATTTACCGGAGTCAACAAAAAAAAGCCGGCTTTCTTTTGTTATCTGAAAGATGAATGCTTTTCTATTCATTTCACTCCTTTGCTAACACTTGGATCATGCAGCAAGAAAAGAGCTGAAATGAAACACAGCTTCCATCCACCTGCTGAGCTTTAGCCACCGAGGGGATTCAAAATTAACACCGGATTCGTGCAATCAGGTGAGCCGGTGTTTCCGCAAACGTTACCTGTCAAACGCAGCGAGGCCGACGACAGGACGGCCTTTTCATCCAACTCCCTGACGTGAACCCTGACTCCGGAGGTCACATCGGGCCACACCCCATCAGACACGCCCACTCTCAGCCAGTAGCTGCCAGCTGGCGTGTTCTGCTGAAGGTACAGAACTCCTGAGCTCCGGTTCAGACTGAAATACCTGCGAGAGGCAGAGGCGACATCAGGCATGAGAATACCATTTCAGAATACCATTTTTGTTTATTTATAGGTTTGTCTCTGAGCTTGTTGGCAGAAACACAAAATTTAATATTGTGGTCAATCATACTTGGATTTACTCCAGCAAACACCGATTCTAAACCAATTTAAACACAATAACAAAAGAGCAGACAAACAAAAATGACCAAGATGAGAAAAAAAGAGGGAAAGAAAACATTTGGCTCCAAAAGCTTCTGAAAGAGATTAATAGTTGTCATGGAAACTGTCAGAATTTGCTGTATGAATATAACAAATATGCAATTGGTATTTCTAATCTGATTTAGAAAATGTGAATACTGAACAGCTGCACAAGGTCTCTGATGTAGTCGGAGTGTGATCGAATAGGCTGTTTTATCTCTGGAATGCCACGCAGGCCAGTGGAGATTTCTTAGTTTGATTGAATTTGATTGTAGTTTGCGGAATGATAATCACCGAAGATGACAGTGATTAAAATCTTAATGGAAACTGTGGGATATATATCAGTGGCCAGGGAACTGCATTTCCAGAAAAATACAGATTATGCATATTTAAAAACCCAGTGATGTCATTCAAAGAGGTCTTGCTGGAGAACTAACTAAGGACAAATACTTTGTTACTGTACTTAAAGGAGACATATCATGCTAAATGCACTTTATTTGCATTTATAAACTATTTTTTGTGCAATTATAATGTCTAGGAGTGTAGAAAAATTTAATTTATTTTGTCCAGTTACTGCAAAGATATTTTTATATTATTTTATGGGTCAGATTTTTCAGTTTGTTCAAAACCTGCTGTTGCTTATTTCGTTTCATTGTTTATTTCGTCACACTTTTTTCTTCGGAACTACCATTTATGGTGATGTATTTCCAGCCCACTGGATTTCATAGTCGGCCATTTTTTTCCTCGCTGTGTGATTTTGTAGTTCATAGCATCATGCCGAAAATGCACGTTCAGAAGTCAAAATGTTCGGTTCTGGGGTGTGTAAACCCACACTATTATCTACATAGATTACCAGCATCAGAGCTTCTTCAAAGTGCCTGGTTAAGTTTTATTTTTCAAGAAAATGGACCCACAACAGGGCGGAAAGTGCTTGCGGACAACACAGGATGAATGTTACAACAACAAGGGTGAGTTATGAACTGTAAATGTGTTTTAACTGTCTAATTTAGCTGTTTCTATCCTCTGTGTTGGAATACGAGGGAAGAAAGAACAGCTGTGTTTGTTTCTTTACCGAACGGGTGCTCAGCACCATGTTTTACTTTCACTTTCGCCCCGTACTGCAATCAGCATGTCCGCATTGTTTTTCTTTTTAAAAATGCTGGAGCGTTTCAAACTGTGATCTAAAGTTAACGTCAGCTGTTTTAAATGCATTTTTTGCCTGGTGTTAAAAATGGGAGCAGCAGAATGAGGCAGAGAAGCTGTGAGTGCTGTGTGTGTGAAGTCCTCATTAGGATGGCAAGATGGATGGTAAATGGTAAATGGTACTGAACTTATAGAGCGCTTTTCAAGTCCCTCCAGACC